TTGTTTGCTGTGTGCGGTTTAGAAATTAGGCAATACTTAGAAGCAATACTTAGAAGTAAATATTGGTTCAAACAACACCAGCTCCAGCTCTCCAGTGGCCCATCCAGTTGGCTCATCCCAGGTAGCAAACAGCATTTTGCAACACAGTTAAAACCTGACACCGAATATTTCTCCTAACCAGCAGGGAAACAGGTTTGTGGCATTTCCTGAAAAATAAACTAAGGGCAATGACTCTGCAGTTGGAGCACAGCCCCAGAATTGACACATAGGTCCAAACATGGCCTGCAAGCCTGTTTCTGGAAAGCCAGCCACAGCTCTCCAGGTATTGGTCAGGCCTTGGGAGCCACGGGGAATGCCAAACTGGTCCCAGTCCATCGTCAGCCAAGGCCATGTCTCAGAGCTGGCTCTCACACAGTGGCTTACAGCTGCTGCGAGCCCCATGCTGACCTGGGCTCCAGGGCAGGAGTGATTTCCTCTTCCAGGAGAGGCTTGGCATCAGGCAAGAGGACTGGGATTTCCCCCAGGTTCTCACACAGGTGAGGTAAACCAGCTCTGCAGGAGCCCCCTGATTCTCCCTGCCCCTGCTGGGTACCTGAACATTGAATCCCAGAATGGTTTGGGTTTGAAATGACTGCTAAAGATCATCCTGTCCAACCCATTCCCATGGGCAGGGACACCTTTCACTACACCAGTTTGCTCCAAGCCCTGTCCAACCTGGCCTTCAGCTTCAGGGATGGAGCAACCACAGCTTCTCTGGACAACCTGCCAGGGCCTCCCCACCCTCCCAGGGAAGACTTCCTTCCCAATATCCCATCTAACCCTGCCCTCTGGCAGTGGGAAGACATTTCCCCTTGCCTTATCACTTTATGTCCTTGTCCAAAATCCCTCTCCCGTTTTCTTGGAGTCCCTTAAGGCACTGGAAGGGGCTTTAAGGTCTCCCCAGAGCCTTCCTTAGTCCTGCTGCTCACACTGCTTTGGATGTGGCCTAGCAGACACTTGGCTGCCATTTTACATTGCCAGCTCACGTCCAGTTTATCACCCATCAGTTCCCCAAATCCTCTTCCACAGGGATGCTCCCCAACAGTTCACAGCCCAGGGTCACCATCTCCCATCTCTCCAGACAGGCACTTTGCCAGTCTCAGCTTCTGTCCCACCCTGGCTATTGACAGAAGATGATCTGGGAAAATGTGTTCCTATCAGGCTGCTCTTCCTGCCTTCACCTGCCTCCACATGCAGGCCTAGGACAGGACAAGAACTTGAGCCCAGCTTTTGTGGTTGACTGTGCTGACATCCTTGTCTTGGGCATGCTCCAGCCTTCTCCAAGCCACAGACTGGAAATTCCTATTTCCTGAGGGAAAAAAGTTACTCTGGAGAAGCCGTGACTTCTGCTGAGTGTATATTTTGCCCTCTTCCTTCAGCCCACCCCACCTTGAGGTTCAGTAAGTTCCCCTTTAGTTTTTTTTCTTCCATTTTCCAGAAAACCCAGGGCATTTTGTCCTTAGTCACTCAAGGTGAGCTGGCTTTTCATCACACCTGCCAGCCTGGTGACCCCTGGGGACACCAGCCTTAGCTCCAAAGGCTTCCACAGCTGTCTGGGAACACATCTATGGAAATAACTGTTCCAAAGAGTTGGGTGAGATACCTGTGATGATGTGGTGCCTTGATTGCAACTTTCCTGATTTACCTCTTTTTTTGGGTGTTTTCCACAGGCCCACACACAACCAGAGCTCGGCTACAGCCCCATGCAGCTGTGGGATGAGCTGTGCCATGGGCAGCAGCCAGCTCTGTGGCAAATCCAAGCCTTCTCCCACACAGCCATGCCAGCTCTAACTTTATCCCAAAGTCCTTTGGTTAAAGGATAAATGTCTTTTCCTTAGGACACAACCAAAACTCCAGTGCAGCCTCATCTCAACCACAAACCACAGGGCACACACATGACCTTGCAGTAATGAGTGGGATGTAAAAATAAACAATATTATTTTACCTTCTCTTTCACTTGGCATTGTTCTTTCCCTGGGGTTCAGCTGTGTTTATACATCACCAGTGATCCGTGGCTGGGCAGAGGGTGTGTTAATTTATATTTCTTCATCATTCATGTAATTTTTAGCAACAGCATCCTCTTTTGGAAAACACAACGGCCAGGGTGTGCAGTGTTGCAATGCAACGAACTTGGAATGTGGGACAGTAATTCAGGTTGTTCCATGGAGATGTGCACTACAGAAGGGTTGATGTTTTTGGGTAACTGGGACAAATTCTGACGAGCTCTGACTTAGCTCTGTCCTTCCTGGTAAAGCTGCTCCTGCTCACATGAGCCAGAGCATGGAGCTCTTGCCTTGAAGGGCAACAAGAATTTCCAGTGTTACTAAAAATTGGCTTTTGCTGTTCAGTCTCAGCTGAGTCAGCCAGACACGGGCATTTCGGAATGCAACCAACCACGCACCCAGACAGCCAGGTATGAGTCAGACCAGAACCTGTAGAGGGTACTTAGCAAGAGGCAGGATTCACCATGTGACTAAACACACATTTTCTAACATCAAATTTGGCAAAGCAGGTGTCTGATGGATGTTCAGGGGAGAAAATTGACTGCATTATGCAGTTCATCCCTCCTGGACTCCAAAAAGAATGGCATTTTGCAGCTGGGGACCACCCAGGACACTTCCTTCCGAGGCTTCCCATGGTGGGCTGTACTCCTCAGAAGGAACCACCCTGGAGAGCTGTTGGGTCCTTTGGAGATCAAGGCCTGAGCCCTCAGCCCAGATGGTCTAGAGGACACAGCTCTGGCCTGCTGTGCTTCTGCCATGGGGTACCTCCAAGGAAAGCTGTGTGTTGGAAGAGTTTCTTCTCTGCAGGCTTGGCCACAGGAGTCAAAGCTGTTGAAAGAGCATCCACAAGAAGGATGCACACCAGAAGGGGAATAGAATACATCATGGAGAAAGGCAGGATTTGCTAGCACCAAAAGGAGGTGTAGAAGCACCTCTTCATGTGGCTGGTGATGTTCCAGATGACCCGTCTCTGGAGATCTGAAAATGCAGGAGGTCGCTGCAGTACAAGAGATATTGCAATCCAAGCCTCTTCCTTCACCTCTGGATTTGCTATGATGCCATCTGGAAAAGCAAGGGAAAGAGATGTGAAGTGAACACCACCCATCCCATCAGCTCATCACAGTCATCCCCTTGGCAGGCAAAGAAGTCATTGAGATGCAACCATAATGTGAGAAGGGAAAGAGGAGTGGTGAGCTGTCCATGGAAAAAGGCTTGGGAACCATGTGCAGAAGGCAAAGATAGTTTGGGGTCTTCCAGCAACAGCACTTCTATTATTTGAGTGGATCCTTTATGCTTTCCAAGCTCTCTTCTGCATCTTTCTCCTTCATCTGTCCTGTGGTAAAATATCTTTATCTGGGCAGCGCTATAACTACCTGTGGAGTCAATATGTCCAAGCATTTCCACCAATATTTATGTGCTCAGGTGACTTTGTTGTTTCAGCTGCAACTACAGTTTCTCAATATGTCTGTTAGAAGAGGCATTTTGGAACAAATCAGCAAAAGGCTCCGGAAGAACCACATGGGACAGCCTCCTGCAAGCCCCTGTGCTTCTTCTTCCCATGGATGGGGTGTTGCTAAGGCTGCATGAGTGAGGCAGGGATCAGTGAGACCTGCAGGAAGCTGGGAATAGATTTCAGTGACATCTACCTGTCTTGGTGGAAAAAGACCTAGGAAGGTCACAGCTTTCTGGAGTAAATATGGATGGGAGATCTTCTAAAAGGAGAGGCTTGAGGTGGGGGAAAGTCAGTCCTCCTACAGCTGCAGTGTGTTTGGAGACACTCTGGACACAAGAAATTCCACTCTTCTGGGAAAGCAGGGGATGAAGGGATGAGAAATAGGAACCAGCCATGCAGAAGGAAGTGTTACAGATGATGCTGAAATAACCAGTGTGGCCAGGAGTGCCTCTCACTCAGCCACAGGCAGGGTGGACTCCTAGTACCATGGCGGAGGCGGTCATTGCCACCCTCCCAGGGTCACTCTGTAGAGCCAAATCCTTGGCCTGGCACTGGGCTCCCACCTGCACTGAAACCATTCTGGGCACCATCACTACCTGCAGGTCACTTTGCCCTGAGCCTGCTGGGACATGGGACAAGAGCCAACCCAGGTGCTTCCAGTCAACCTCCAGCTGTGTAGAGAGTGAAGGCTCTAGGAGAAGAAGGACCTGTGCAGGTGGTCCATGAAATCCTCCCTCTAAGGGAGGCTTGTACTCTTGAAAGCAAGCCTGGGAGCTGGACCTCCTGGCTGGGCTTCCAACAGCAAACCTGTAGCTTCTGTGGGGTGGACATGGTGAGAGGACCAGCCCTAGAATGGTCCAGAGATGCTGTTCAGGCTCAAGGGCTGGCTGACGTGGTCCAGGGAATTCTCAAGTTGGTGTGCATGTGCCAAAGGCTGAAGCTGGTCCTGTACCTGGCAGCAAAGATGGGGATGTGAAGGCTGGGACAGCATCACAAAGGCTGCCCTTCATAAACCAAACCATGCCCACTGGCCCCAGGGGGACAGGCCAGGAGTGACACAATCAGATGGAGAAGCTTTGCAGAGAAAGTGGGAGGAGGCTGACTGCTAATCTCATTTCTTTCCAGGTTCACCCCAAAAATTTACCAAAAGTGCAGTGTGATGCTTCCTTCTGTCTGCAGGGCGCTTATCGAGCTGTCTGGTCACTGCTGTTAGCTTTTTTTGCCAGATCAGGTGTAAGAATCATTTACTGCCTTTCAGCCCCACTGCCATTGCCAGGAGCACAGAAGGGAGCGGGCAGGCACTCGGTGCTGCGAGCCAAGGGGCAACGGGAACCTCAGCAGCACTTACTGGCAAACACGCAAAACTCGGTTCTGGATCCAGCAGGGACTTTCTGAGCTTAGTTTTGGACAAAGCAGGGGGTGGGCAGCACAAAGAAAATCGCCTCTCCTGCGGCGTTTCAGCCCGCAGGAGGATTCAAATGCCACAGCTTGGGAATTTTCCATCTGAAGCCCCTTGTAAAATGCAAAGCGCTTTGCCCCGCTCTGACTCCTGCCTGCGGAAGGGTTCAGTGCCAAAGTGAAAGACTTCCTAAAAATGGGCTGATCCAGGGAGGGGGGCGATTTAGGAGCTATTGAGAAACAAGGAAGGACAAACAGTGTTAGGTCATTACTTCTGCAAACACAGCCAAGGCTGTTCTCTATAAAAGGGACAGAAAGCGGTTCCAGAGCCATCACAGACTTGGAGGGGACGGTCTGTGACCAAGGCTGCTGCACCCCTCCCACGGCATCCGACCCCCTGCTCGAGCATGAAACTCGCACTCTTCACTGTGCTATCCTTCGGGATAGTGGGTAAGTGTCTGCTGAAAGCAGCCTTTGGGGAAGGAAGTCACAACCTGGACCCAGGCTTCCCCCAGGCAAGGCTGTTTCGGAGTACGCCAGACCCAGGCAGCTGTTAAGGAAAAGCCGGGACACGAAGCAGTGCTTGCTTTGGCAGCCGCGGATCTGTCAAGGAGGACGGTGTTTTGATGTTATTGATGACAGCCCGTGGGATGGAGGGAGGGTTGCAGCTGCCCGCACTGCGGATGCCCACCCTGCAAGGAGGAGGGATGCTCCGCTCCCACCAGCGCGGAGGAGAATGCTTGGGACAGGCTCTGTCCGCACTCCGGCTGTCACGGGGTGAAGGGAAAAAATCATCCTCCGGCCAACTGCTGTGCTGGGAGAGGAGCACGGGCTCAGCCAGGGGGAGAAATTATTGCAAGACCCACCTGTCAAGCTTGTACGTGTGTTTGGTTAAACTTGAGGGCAGTGACAATAAAATAGAGCTTAAATAATGAAAGATGTGGTGTGCTTCCCACTCTGCTCCTGCGCTACTCTTTCCTACCCCTGCAGCTGCACTTTGCTCAGGCTCCTGTCTATTTTATGCCACATTTGTGCTGCTACAGGGCTGGCTCTGCTTGGAGCGATTCTTTTCCTCTTTCTCTGTTCACAGCTTTCGCAGGCAAGGGGCAGGTAGCCGTGGTAAGGAGTCTCCTGGCTGCACCTAGCCTGGGGACTGATGCCTGGATAGGGAGGGATCTTCTTCTTGGAGAAGGCAGGTCTCTTCTGATCCCCCCTAAAGCGTGGTGGTGATTAATGTCCTCTGTTAGGAAGTGCTCCCTGTGCCTCTGGTGTCAGGAAGTCCTTCAGTACCTCTGCTGAATATTAGCATGCAAAGATGTTTTTTAATGGTTCCTCCTCTTCCTCCCCTGCACAGAAAGAGACAAGAGGTCACTCAAAAGGTCTGTGACGGTGGCCGGGGCACTCAGGCTGCCATTACCTTCCCAGTGTCACCAGTACAGCTGAGCTGACTCCCTCTGGAGGTGCCCACCCAGCCTCTGCCCCAGGCAGGGTGCTTGCTAGCATTAGGTTAAGGTGACCATGGCTTTGTGCAGCCAAGACTTGAAAAATGCATGATGAACTTGAAAAACATATGAAAAAAAAAAGAGGTGGTGGCCATAGGAACTGAAGCTAAGGATTCTCCCTGTGGCTAAATTCAGCACCTCTACTGGGAGGCTCAGAAATCAGGTAAAGAGAGGCTATTTCTGAGATGAAAGAGAAGATGGAAATGACACAGGTTAATCTGGAGGTGTTTGGATGAAATGTGCCATTGAGGTTTGGAGACAGAGAGGGGTACAAATCGTCTCTTGATCTGCACAGCCCTGCCTGGAAGGGGCAGATTGAAGGTGAATTGACAGCACAGGCTGGCCACATCCTTGAACTGCAAGTTTCCAGCATTCCTGGGTTCAGGTTTTTGGAGGAGACTTGAATCTGCATTGACCAGAGGCTTTTGCTTTCTTCTGACCCCCCAGAGCAGCCCTTCAGCTGCTTTTACGGGGTGGGGCACTCGTGGAAGGACTATGGTGGTGCTGTGGCATCTCTCATGGGGTGCAGTGGAGCAGGTGAGACACAGACACAGTTAAATATCATTCACAGATCAGATCATTCAGCTGCCAAGGAGGTGAGAGTGGCAGTGCACTGCACACAGCCTGGCTAGATCAGAGCTGCTCCCCCTCTGGAGTTATTGGCACAGGCACTGCTTCAGTGCTCCAACTTTTCTCTCTGTTTTTGCAAAGGCTTGAGCTTGATTTCTATTGAAGTGTGCGGATTTGTTCTCCTAATCCTGTGGATGTTGCTGTGAGTCCAGGCTGCTTGAATCACAATAGTCCTGGGACAGGAATGATTGTCCCAGATGTTCCTGATGGGGCACAAGTCAGGCAAGAAAGAAAGAAAGGATCTTCCTGTGTGGCTTGGGAGATCCCGCATGTGGCCATCACCCAAGGCCATGACCACAGGGAAGCAATGACCTTGTGCTCACAGAGATGCTGTTTCTCTCCAATCAATGCCTTTCTACCTCTCTGAGACTATTTTTTTCTGGTTCTTTCTACAGCTCTGTGTTTTGCTGCTCCCCAAAAGCCAAGTGTCAGGTGGTGCACAATATCCTCAGCCGAAGAGAAAAAATGCAACAGCCTGAAGGACCACATGCAACAAGAGAACTTTGCTTTCAGTTGCCTGCAGAAAGCATCATACCTCGATTGCATAAAAGCCATTTCGGTGAGTGGGCAGCACATTCCTCTGCTGGGATGTTTCAGCAGCCTGTTACACCTGGAGATGGAGTTTCCTTTCAGTCACTGGTTGTTACCTGTGATCCCCCTGTTATGCACAAGGATCCAGGAGAGACTCTGGGAAGTGCTTTTTGTGCTCTTTATTAATTGATGAAATCTCTTTGTTGTTTAGAATAGCGAAGCAGATGCCATTAGCTTGGATGGAGGTCAAGTTTTTGAGGCAGGCCTTGCTCCCTACAAGCTGAAGCCCATCGCTGCTGAGGTCTACGAACACAGTGAAGGTACATTTCCAGGCAGTATTTTTAAGCCAAACGGTGGTAACAAACTGAGAGTGCAGAGGCCATCCCTTGCATGAATAGTTCCTATTTATTTTGGTTAGGGATCCAAGATATTGCCCCTGGTTCCCAGCTCCCAGAGGGGAAGGCATGGGGGGGGCAGTTCAGCAAAATGTGGATCATCACCCATGGCCACAAGACCCAGTGTCCTGTTTCTTGTCATTTGCTGCAGTGAAGGTCTCTGATCCCATGAGCAGAAATCATGGTCCTCCTGAAACATGGCATAAAAATGGTGCTGGTCCCAGAGATCTTCTGCTTTCAGTGGCCTTGAACTCTGTGGGTAAAACATGGAGTTGGGAGGCACAGATAAGTTCTGTGATTTCCTGTGCTTTCATCAAAACAGAAAAAAAATATTGGAGAGGCAACAGCATTACTACTGGTTGAGAGGGACACCCAGTTGAGATCCCTGAGGCAAGAAATGCAGGCAATCCCCAGGAAAAAAGGAGAAGCATAACAAGGGCTCTGCAACAATCCCCTCTGATCAGAATGAGATCCATGGCTCCATCCCTATTCACCCATTGCACCATCCTTCATCTCTCCCATCTTTTTCCTGGGAGCCAAACAGATGCCATTTCCCTGACACATCCAAAGCTCCATTTTCTTTCGACCTCTTCCCTGGAGTTCAGCCTTTTTGTATGCAATATTCAGGGTCAAAGCAACACAGCAGAGTAATTTCCAGTGTGGGAGTTAAGAAAAAGATCCTAAACCTTAAAGGCTGAGGTCTCTACCACCCCCGAAACTCAGTCATTATAACCATATATAGTATGTGACAGACTAGGTAAAATTCTAAAGACTAAATATGGAGTTCCAGTCTCACAAGGCGTCTGTGGGGAGTGGCATTGGAGAAGAGACTTGCCAATGGAGACTTGCAGAAAGATTCATTGAAGTTCCTCACAAAACTGTGGCACCTTGAATGTGATAGCATTTTCAGGTCACCTACTGGAAGTGGAAATGTGCAGCATTAGCACAATATGGGCAGCATTAGCTCAATATGGGCAGCATTAGCTCACCTCCAAGAAAATGAGAAAACCACAAGTGTTCAACCAAATTAGCTGATTGCTTCGAAGTGCAGCACTTTGTTCCCTGAAACTGGGGTGTCTAGCAGAATTTGAAATGTTCCTAAGTCCTCTTTTTCCCATTGCTTCATTCCTTTTTCCTGCACTGCAGGCTCCACTACCAGTTACTACGCCGTGGCCGTTGTGAAGAAAGGAACAGGCTTCTCCATAGATGAGCTGCGGGGCAAGACCTCCTGCCACACGGGGCTGGGCAGGTCGGCGGGCTGGGTCATCCCCATTGGGACACTCATCCACCGCGGGGACATCGAGTGGGACGGCAAAGACTCGGGCTCCATCGAGCAAGGTGAGGTGGGGCACGCCGACACTGGTGGTGGCACTTAAGCCAGGGCTGGTGGCACGGTGAAAGGGGCATTTCCCAATCTTCTGTGGGGGCTCTGACATTTCTTGTGGAGCTCCTCCCTTCCCAGTCCTCCTAAAAGAGAATTTTTGACCAACTGTTGCTTCCTTCTCATCCACAGCTGTGGCAAATTTCTTCTCTGCCAGCTGTGTTCCTGGTGTCACCACTGAAGCCAAACTGTACCGTCAGTGCAAGGGGGATGCCAAGACCAAAATGTCCCGCACAGGACCTTATTCTGGATATTCTGGAGCTTTTCAGTGAGTGAGAGTTATTTTTCCTTTGGGAAAACATTCTAGCCCTGACACATGCCAGTTTTTATTATACCAAGGAAGGCTGTGTTGGAATCACGGGTCCTGAGGAGACTGAATTGCTTCTCTGCCATTACAATTTCTTCCCTTCCAGCACAGCTTTTTTTTGGAAGACCATTGCTTTATGGCTGTAGTTTATGCCAAAAATAATTTGTAGAAATGGGAGATAGGGAGTTATAATGTCTGATTTTCTCTAACTTTTCTTCTGTTCCTTCCACCTGCAGCTGTCTGAAAGATGGGAAAGGAGATGTGGCTTTTGTGAAACACACAACTGTTCAAGGTACACCTGCAAGATCCCTCATTTCTTCTCTTTCTAGTTCCACCTCTCGCTGCCACTCCATCCTGCAACTTGTCTACACTGTGCAGCTTTCATTTCTCTCCAGGCCTAAACACTTCTTTCATCTCTTGAAAAAAGTTTTGCACGTTGTGAACTGACTAATCCTTGTTAATGAAAAATGGGATTATCGTGGATCCACATTTTCTTCTCAGAGGTTCTTCTTTGTAGCTGGAAAAGGTGCTTGGTGCAATATCTCTGAGCTAGCTGTAATGTGAGCAATTGAGCAGGTCACCCATCCCTCTGGAAGGGATTTTGGGGGGAATTCAGCCCATAGCAGTTCACTAACTCTGTGGAGACCAAGGGTGGCCTGGCACATCCAGGACCTGCAGTGAGCTCAGTGGAGGGTCACCAAGGTGGTCATGGGGCAGGAATAACTGTCCTGCAAGGAGATGCTCTGTGGGATGGGCTTGATCAGCCTGGGGTCTGGATACAAGGGGAATTTTTTGCCCCTTGAGGACAATGAGGTACTGGGACAGGTTGTCCAGGACAGCTGTGCACGGTCCATCCTTGAAGGGTTTCAGGATCTACCTGAAACATCCTACTCTGTCCCTGCCTTGACCAGGGATCTTCAAAAGTCTCTTCACTCTTGAATTCTCATGTAACCTTGTGATCTCAGTCCTGCACCTTGTCTGCAGCCTTGACATTAGTCAGCTACTGGCCTTCACTGACCACGTGCAGCTCCTGACCTGCTCAACCCACTTGTATGGGATTTGTAAACCTATTTGTATCTCTTTGTGCATAAATCCTCATACTGTTGGGTTAGTTACAGCAGAGGCCGAGGTGATCTCTCTTCCAAAGACTTTGCCTTCATATGCCCGAGATGACCCCATTGCAAGGGGAGTGCCTGCAACCTGTCTTCTGCAAAGAATTCCCCCCAAAGCTTCTCAAACTGGCCTTTCTGTCTATTCTCATGGTGATGCAACTCATGGTTCCTCCCTTCCTTCAGAAAATGCCCCAGCTGAGAAGGATGAGTACGAGCTCCTGTGTCTGGATGGCACCCGCCAGCCTGTGGACAACTACAAGGCCTGTCACTGGGCCCGGGTTCCTGCTCATGCTGTTGTGGCTCGAGATGACAGCAAGGTCAATGACATCTGGAACTTCCTCTCCAAAGCACAGGTACCACCAGTCTCTCCTTTCCTTCCTCTAACATCCCCTGTCCTCTGGGTTTGATTGCCTTCTCCAGTTTTCCAAGAGTTTTGGTGTGGTTGTTTGCTGATTATTTTTCCCTTGTGGCAGGAAAAATTTGGCGTGGGCACAACTAGCACCTTCCACCTCTTTGGGCCACCTGGCAAGAAGGACCCAGCCCTCAAAGACTTGCTTTTCAAAGACTCCGCAGTACAGCTGAAGCAAATCCCATCACTGATGGACACTCAGCTCTACTTGGGCTTTGAGTATTACAGTGCTGTCCAGAGCCTCCAGCAAGGTAGGCAGGACATCAAACACCAATGTCATGTCAGCATGGGCTGTGTGGAAGAGTTGGCATTGGCAAAAACAGCCAGGCAAAAGGATCATGTGATTTTCAGACACAAACAGTATAATCTGCAAAATACTTTGTGTGAAATTACAGAACCTTCACAAACTTCACTTACATCAACAAAGGAATTTGTCGTATCCAAATCCAAATTACCACACTGACAAATATGGAAAATCTACACAAACTCCACACCAGTTATTCAGCTGGTGGTAGAGATTTGGCATGGTCAAAACTGCTCCTTAGAAAAACCATTTCTAGATTGTAAAAACAAGGAACATCCCAGGACACCAGGTTCAGACACTTGAGGGAACCAATGTCCTCTATTTCCATCTAGACTCATCAAGCATTTTCTGATAGCTTTCTGAGGGTCAAACATCCCACAAATGATCTCTGAAACCCACTTAGAATTCGTAGTACAATTTAAAGTACTTCACTTCTGTTAAGTGATATTTGTGGAAGGGAGTGAATGGACTTCACATAGCATCAAACCAGATATTTCAAGTGTTATTCTATAGAAACATAACTAGGTTTCCAGTTCAGGGTGGTCTTAGTCCCATGGCTGTCTGGGTTGTGAGAAGTGAAGAAATGTGGGACATATTACAGGCAGCAATTCCATGGCCGTTCAGTGGTTGTGCTGTTTTAGCTAACAGAAATCTGCCTGAATGACTTGTGTTATGCAGCAATTCACCTTTCTGACCTGTAAGTTGATTTTTTGAGCCTCCTTCAGCTCAAAAATCACCTTTCCTACTCTTGCCAGCCCAGGGCTTAATTAACAAGAACTCCTTGCCCTGAGCAGCAGCAGGTTGGTGTGTACAGGTGGTTTGTGGCCGAGCCCCTCACACCAGGACGTGGCTCTGCAGGGCTCATCCCTGTTTCCCTGTGCTGCCCTTGCAGATCGCCTGACCCCCAGCCGCAGAGACAACAAGATCCAGTGGTGTGCGATCGGCAGGGATGAGAAGAAGAAGTGCGACGTCTGGAGCGTGATGAGCAACGGGGATGTGGAGTGTGTTGTGGCAGAGGACACCAAGGAATGCATCACAAAGATCATGGTACAGTGTTTTTCCCCCTTTCTCCTCACTGTGAAATTCTTAGGTGCTTCTTTTACCATCTGAGCTCTGGAAAGCACTGGCCTGGGGGTGTGCAGCATTTCATTTCTGCACCTTTCCCTTGCAGAAAGGTGAAGCAGATGCCATCAGCTTAGATGGAGGCTTTGTCTACACTGCTGGCATATGTGGCTTGGTTCCAGTGATGGCAGAGAGCTATGAGGGTAAGCACAGCTCTGTCTCAGGGTCCAGCTGGTGGGGAATGAGCTGGTGCCAAAGTGCTGGTTTTATTCTGGAATTCTACAAAGCAGCTGCAGTGCTTCATCCTGCAGAAATCACAGAATATCCTGGGTTGGAAGGGACCCACCAGGATCATCGATCCAACTCATGGCCCTGCACAGACACCCTGACAATCCCAGCCTGTGCCTGGGAGAGTTGTCCAAAGCTCCTGGAGCTCTGGCAGCCCAGGGGCCGTGCCCATTCCCTGGGGAGCCTTGGGCAGTGTCCCACCACCCCACTCCTCTGGTGGGGAAATCTTTCCCTGACACCCAACCTAACACACAGTGCTCCGAGGCAACTTCGCTCATCATTGCATGCCTTGTCTTTCCATGAAAGCAGAGCAGACATGGATAGTCAGGAACTCTGTTTTAATTAGGATGCCCTAGTCCTTTAGCACCAGCCTTGGTAAAACAGCTTTTTTTAGCTCAGAGAAGCAGCTGAAAGCTGTGCTTTGTTCTGCTGATGCACAAGGTGTTACTTGAAAGGGTCATTTTTACAACAGAGTTTCTCCAGAAATTAGTGGGCTTGATTATTCTTTTGTATTTGAGGTGTATTTAACTTAACATCTTCTTATTCTCCCCTCCTACAGACAATCACTGCGAATCACAAGAAGAACCAGGTAATTACTGCCAACAGAGGGACAGAAAACAGTCCAGAGGGATATCAGTAGAAAAGTAGATATGAGTTATGAGTGGAGAATAAATAGCCAGTCTCCACCCACAGAGTGTCCAGTGCAGATATTAGAATTTTGGGAGATAGGTTTAGCAGTAGGAGGGAAAATTAGGGGCTGCAATAAGATCAAGGAGAAACATTTGGTAATGGCAGAGATTGGTGTGGTCACACTATAACAGTGTCAGGGCTGTGAACAGAGAAAGAGGGTCTGGGCTGCAGCATTAGGAAATTGTTCTTTCTAGAAATGGAAAAGGGGAGAGGAGGGGAGGGTTTTGTCCTTTGCTAAGGAGAGAATAAGAAATCAGGAGTGGATACAAAATCTTCACATGTGCCTTGCCTTCTCATAGCCTTCTCCTATACCCAGGTATCAGAGCTTCGGAGGGCAGGGAAATGTCAGGGATAATCATTTCCCAGGAGTGTGGTGGAAGTAGATGCCTCACATCTACAAACTCCTCCATTGTTGCTGCCTGGCCAAGTATTTTTAAGCACAAAGTAATTCTGTGCTGTTCATAGGTGCCCTTTCCCAAGTGAAGCCAGTGCTCTTTCCTAAGGGATCACAGTGGGATCCTTGGGTCAGACCTCAGTTCTTCTCTGTTTTATCTTCTGAAAGCAACCTACTTTGCTGTGGCTGTTGTGAAGAAGTCTGACAAGGATATCAGCTGGAACAACCTGCAGGGTAAGAAGTCGTGCCACACTGCCGTGGGGAGAACTGCTGGCTGGAACATCCCCATGGGCCTGATCCACAACAGGACAGGCAACTGCAACTTCGGTGAGTCCAGTTTGGAATCCATTTCTTTGAGCTGGGAATCTGCTCACAAAAGAGTGTCTTACCATCGGATTTTCAAAGTTTCTTGTGCCTCAAATATTCCCTCTTGGAGGGAGGAAATGGAGAAAATGCTGTTATTTAAGGTTTCACTGAGCAAAATGTTAGGCTTTTGGCATCTGCTTCAGAGTAAAATACGGCACATCAGCTGCCTTGGGGGTCTTTGCTTTCTTTTCACATCTCTCCCCTTCCTTCTGCAGCAGCCCAAGAGATATTCCCAAAAAGGGAATGTGGGCTGCCCCACATGGGCCTGGTGCTTGTGCAGGGTGTGGAGTGAGGATAAAAGATGAAACTTAAAGGGAGGGGAAGGGCTGAAAACAGGGGACAGAGGCTGCTTTCAAGAAACTTAATCTGACTGCCTGAGACTTCACTGAGAGTTATGGTCCAAAAAAAAATAATTAGGAAACATTATCAATGTTAACAACCAAGACAAAGTAAGCATATAATAATTAAAAGGAAGTATCTAACCACATGAAGATACTAGTGTTAGTAAGTTTTATTCTTGGCTTCTCTATCCCCCTGCCTTCCTTTCCTACTGTCCCTTCTACCCCAAGAGCTCTGACACTGCTGCCAAATCCAGCTGCTGACCCATAAATGTCGTGGAGGCTTGGGCTGGCTCTGTGTGAGCTGGGAATGGTTTGCAGGGAAACATTCATCTTTTTATGACAAGATAGTGCCTATTGCATTTGAGCCTTAGGCTCTGCTTCATCACAAAATCAGAGAATCACAGAATCATGGAATGGTTTGGGTGGAAAGGCATGGTAAAGCCCATCCAGTCCAACCCCCTGCCATGGGCAGGGACACCTTCCACTAGCCCAGGTTGCTCCAAGCCCTGTCCAACCTGGCCTTGGACACTTCCAGGGATCCAGGGGCAGCCACAGCTTCTGTGGGCAGCAATAACAATTATCAATAATAACAGGACCCAAGTTCCATGGTCAAAGCTGGATGCACATGATTTGCTGCCTACTGAGTCATGCTCCTTCTCCCAGCCCGTTTCCAGCTCCCCTGTGAGCCAGAACATGTTATTACAATAAAACCTCACTTCTCAGGGCAGGAAAAGTGAATTTCTCCCATTTCTGCCTCCAGATGAATACTTCAGCCAGGGCTGTGCTCCCGGGTCTCCTCCCACCTCCCGCCTCTGCCAGCTGTGCAAGGGCTCAGGGGGGGTCCCTCCGGAGAAGTGCGTTGCCAGCAGCCACGAGCAGTACTACGGCTACACCGGAGCTTTACGGTAAGTGCTGGGGACAGCCAGCCTGCCTCAGTGTCCTGGGGCTGGTCACAGGGGCTGGGTCACAGCTGGAGTACAGCCTCAGGTCCACACTAACTGTTTTTCTCCATTACACCACTGAAAGTGCATATCTCTGTAGTGCTACAGATGTGCCACATGCTTTTCCTTTGCTTTCTGAAAATTGATGTGAAATATCCCCATTCTGTAAAACTCGTGTCCTGGTGGCTCCAGGCAAACACAGAGAGGCACAATCCCTGCCAGAATGGCATAAGTGCTTCTCTTTTAACATAAATAAGGAGTTTAAAGTCTGTATTTCAGATATATTTAAAATATTTGTGGCAGGCCTCCTAGACCTGGATGTTTTTGGAGATTAATTGTATAGAATAAGACTCAAGTCTAAATCAAATCTGTGGGAAAAGGACAGGATTCAAGCACTTATATCACTGGCCTCTTTTTCTACTTCCCAGGTGTCTGGTTGAGCAGGGGGATGTGGCCTTTATCAAGCATTCCATCGTTGAGGAGAACACTGATGGTATGTGGTCAGGGCTGATTTCCCCATCTGCATGACTGCTTAAGTGGTGTTGAGGCTGATGCTCTCCTGCTATGCAAGCTCACTGAATCTCCAAACCCATTCTCTTTAAAGGCAAAAATACAGAAAGCTGGGCCAAAGATCTGAAATTGGACACATTTGAGTTGCTGTGCACTGATGGGCAGCGGGCAAATGTCATGGATTACAGAAGATGCAACCTGGCCAAAGTCCCGACCCACGCTGTGATGGCACGTCCTGAGAAAGCATCACAAGTCCGTGACATGCTGGAGAACCAAGAGGTTTGTAGTGCTGAGAGTAGAAGAAATATTGTGAGGTTGCTCTGATTTTCCCCAAGTCAGTGTGAGGTGGAAGATTTTACCTCACTGCTATGGGGTGACAGCCTTGTCCCTTGCCCTCCATCCCTCCCTCCATCCCTTCCCAAGTGCTCTCTCTCCTCTGCCACCTGAGCAAACACACCTTTAGGTGGCAGTGGGATTGCAGCTGTTGCTGCTGGCACACTATGTTTGTGTGACATGAGTTTATCACCTCCTTTCTGGCCTCTGCTCCTGCTGGGGTGTATCAGAAACTCCTTTGTGGTGCCTGGTCTGTGCCACAGCTGGGTCAGGCTCAGCCCCAGAGCAGGCTCCCTGCACACACACAGCTGAGCAGAACCAGGCTAAACTGTTTCTGTTTCTCCCTGCAAACATTAAGATCAGCTCCACCATCAGGGTCTGGTGAGAGGCACCTGGGGCCTTTGGCTTTTACTCATGGTTAAGTTACAGGACCTGCTGGCAGCATCTCTGCACACAGGGACATGTTAAAATGGGGCAAGAAATGTGCCTACCAGTGAGCAATCCCTCCTCTAAGCATACAGACAGAAGGTTCAATCCTAAATTTCTGGACCCTGGCTTGGGGCTTCCTGGGCTGATGGTGAAGAACCAGGAAGAAGAAGTAGGCCAGCTTTTTACTTCTCTCCTCTTTGTGCCTTTATTTCAGAGGCTGTTTGGAGCAAAAGGAACCAGGAAAGACGATTTCAACATGTTTGCATATGAATCCAAGGATCTGCTGTTTAAAGACCGGACAAAGTGCCTGATCAAGCTCCGCGATGGAATGTCGTACAAGGAGTTCCTTGGAGATAAATACTATGCTTCACTTGCCAGCCTCAACACCTGCAATCCATCAGGTAACTGGAACAGCCTCAGAGGAAGTCCTGAATTGCAGTTCTTACCTTGCAGGCATGAGCAGTTTCTTCTGGAACTGTCCATTCAGTGCCTTTAAAGGGAGAAGATGCCAATATTCTTTTCTCAAAGTTCCTTGGGTGAACTGAGAACAGACTTAAAATCTGCTGCTCTGGCAGCAATGTGAATAAAAGACTTTTCCTCACCTTTAGAAAATATGGACTTTGAGAAACAGCACAGAGAACCCCCCTGGACCCAGCAGTGTGGGATTTGTGGTTAAAGTCCTTTTTTTGTGGCACACTGTGGATTTTCCATGGTGTGACATTGTTGGCATGGCTGGGTGTGTGCTGGTGGGATGGAAGTGTTTAAAAGCAAGATCTGAACTTCTCCTTGTCCTTTCCCTTTCCAGATCTTCTCCAGGTGTGCACCTTCCTTGCAGACAAGTAGTGAGATGGGAAGGATCCTCGAAGTGGGGGAGAAAACCTCAAGCCATGACTCCTCTTGTGCCCTCAGCAGCGAACACTGACCTGTGGAGGGCCCTCTGCCTTCACTGCTTTCTCTGCCCTCCCTCACCAGTCTGAAAGTAGCTCTTTGACACTTCACAATTCTCTGCTGTCAGCACAGCAAAAAATAAAATTTAAAATCTAAACTGGTGTCCTGAGATTTTTCCAAATGGCCTTTAAGCCCAATCCTTCCTCAGTGCCTCACACTGTAGGACAGTGACAGATATCAGCATGGCTCTGGTCACTGCTGCCCCTTAAGGAAATTTCTTGCACCATTTGCTAAAGCAAAATGGATTGGATGTACCCTGGTGCCTAATTAACAGATGCTTTGTGCTCTCTGTGCTTTTGCTTTGCTCAGATTATCCCAATGTCTCCCAGGCAGGTGAGGGTTCCCCAGTGTGGTTGGGACACAGGAAGAGGGAGAGTGTTTGTGTCAGGGAAGCTGAAGGAATAAAAACCACTCCAAACCAAAATAATACAGTGGGTGTAAGATGGGAGATGTGAACAAAAGCTGCTGTGTCTCAGATCTCAGCTGGCTGGCTCTGAGTCCCTTCCAGTAGGCAGGACTCATTGAGCACATACATGTATTGATGGGGAGAGTCCAGGCTTAGGCTTCCTTTCTGGAAAAATCTAGGATTTGCTTGGAAACGTGTTTGTTTTTGCAGTTTGTCTGATCAGTGCTGCTGACCTGAAAACAAACATGTAGTTTGTTTTGCCTGATTCTGAACCACAGTGAAAATAAAAAGGAAAGACAAAAAGGGCTGCTGGAGCTCTCTGCTCCAGAGGAACAGCCTGGGCTTATCCAGGGTGTCCCAGTCCTGGAATAGCCTGGGCTTATCCAGGGTGTCCCAGTCCTGGAATAGCCTGGGCTCATCCAGAGTGTCCCAGACCTGCTGTCAAGGCAAGAGTGGAGGAGCTGCTGAGAGCACAAAGCTCCTGACTTTGAGGGAATGAATATTTTGAATATGATGATTTTTGGATGCCTATGGTAAGTGTGGTGAGAAGTTTACCAGCCTGGTTGAAAATCCCCCTGGATGGCAGAAATGCAGAATGTGACAGGAAAGGATGAAATATAGCCCCTCGGTTTACGTAGGATGAATACACTGGACAGGTGTTTTTTTAACCCATTTTTCAAAATTAGCAAAGAAAGAGAATCAGTGCCTCTAACAGGCTGTTTCTACAATTCAGTATGCCTACAGTTAGGAAATGTCCCCCCCAAAAAAAGCTGCACTATGTGCATTTCATGTCAGGTATAAGCCCTTGTCCCACAGGTAGAGGGCATTAAAGGATAAGAAGAACCTCACTAGAGGATCACTCAAGCTGGAAGGGACCTCTGAGCATCTCCAGTCCAATCTCCTTCTCAAGGAAAGGAATCAGCCAGTGTGCTCAGGGCTTCACCTCCCTGGGCAGGCTGTCCTGCTCCTGGCAGCCCCCAAAGGAGAACATTCCTCTCATATCCACTTGGAACCTGCTTCCCTTCAATGTACTCCCGTCGCTCCTCATCCTGCACCACTGTGGGAAGCCTGGCTCTGCTTCCTGATGCCTGGCACAAACAGCCTGGGACAAAACAGCCCCATGGAATGCTCCAGGCTCCCAGAGTGGCTGGGAAGCTGGGGAAGCCCTGGAGGTGCTGGTGACAGTGGCCAGACATGAGCCCAGGTGTGCCCAGGTGGGCAAGAGGCCAATGGCCCCTGGGCTGTGCCAGCCATGGTGCGTCCAGCAGGCCCAGGGCAGTGACTGTCCCCTGTGCTGGGACCTGTGAGACACCTCCAGCCCTGGGACAGTTCTGGGCCCAGCAATTCACGAAGGACATCGAGGGGCTGGAGCGTGTCCAGGGAAGAGAACGGAGCTGGGGAAGGGAATGGAGCCCCAGGAGCAGCTGAGGGAGCTGGAAAGGGGCTCAGCTGGAGAAAAGGAGACTCAGGGGAACCTTGTGGCTCTGCACAACTCCTGACAGGAGGGGACAGCCGTGTGTTTGGGCTCTGCTCCCAGGGAACAGGACAAGGACAAACAGCCTTGAGTTGTGCCGAGGGGTTCAGGCTGGACATCGGGAAAACTTTGCAGAACGAACTGCCCAGCCCTGGCGCATCTGCCTGGGATTTAAAAGCCCTGTGCATGTGGCACTTCGGGACATGGCTCTGCGGTGTCCCTGTCAGCGCTGAGATCACGGAGCTTTTCCAGCCTAAACCATTCCACGTTTCCCCAGGCTCCCCCAGCGCGCCCCGGCGGTCCCAGCGCCTCAGGGAGGGGAACTACATCTCCCGTGAGCCCCCGCGCCCGCCCTTCCCGGCGTGCCGCGCGGCCGGGGGCGGGGCGCGGGCGGCCACGCGTGCGGCCATGGCGGGCGGGCTGGAGCCGCACCTGGCGGCGCTGCGGCGGGAGCTGGGCGGCCCCGCCGCGCTCTCCGTGCTCGTCGCGCTCCTCGCCGTCGCCATCACCTTCCGTGAGTTGCGGGCGCCTCCCTGTCCCCCCGCCCCGCGGCCCGCTGGGGGCGCGGCGGTGCCGGCGGGCTCGGGTGTGCCGTTCCCCTCAGGCTGCTCTCTCCCGCAGTGATCTGGCGGTTCGTGCAGGGCAGGAGGAGCGGCCGGAGCGCCGTGCTGCTGCTGGGCCTCTGCGACGCGGGGAAGACGCTGCTGTTCGCGCGGGTGAGCGGGGAGGGCGCGGGGGCCTCTCGGACCACAGTGCGGGAGCTCCCTTTAGTTCCGTTTGTAGTCTTTTGATGGATCTTAAAAGGTGGGGGTTGTAGCTGTAAGGAGGGATGGAGAGCGAGTTTTGTCTACCACGGAGTGTCCAAAGAAATGGCGCTTTGGTTTGAATTCGTCATAGTAAAAGGCTTAGGGATACTTGAGCGCACCACAGTCTGCGGCAGCTCCAATCTCTGTGAGCAGGGACAGCACCCCAGGGAACGGCTGGAGCTGTGCCAAGGGACTTGAGGTTGGATATCGGGGAAAGGCTCTCCCCAGAGGGTGGTGGGGCAGTGGACGGGTTCCCCAGGGAATGGGCACGGCCCCAAGGCTGCCAGAGCTCCAGGAGAGTTTGGACAATGCTCTCAGGCACTGGCTGGGATTGTTGGGAGGTCTGTGCAGGGTCAAGAGTTGGGCTGATGATCCTGGTGGGTCCCTTCCAACCCTGGACATTCTGTTACCGCCACGTCTGAAAAAGAAAGGGGCACAGCCATGCTTACCGTGGTCCCAGCTGGGAAACTGTGAAGGATTTGCAGGCACACTCTCTTCCTTCTTGTTTTAATGGAGATTCACAATATAAATATATAGTTACTTTCCTAATGACCATTTTTGAATTAAATTGGGGAAGTGACCGCAGCAGTATTTTCCTGCAGGAAATTGAGATCGGGTCTCTGATGCCCATTACCCCTGTCAGAGAATTTCAGTTTCTGAGGAGGCTGGGGGTGGTGTTGGTGTAGTTTGGGGTGGGGGCCTCCCGGGCTGTTGGTTCTGAGGCTGTGCCTGTTCCCGCAGCTGCTGTCGGGGCGGTACCGCGACACCCAGACCTCCATCACCGACAGCTCTGCCGTCTACAGGCTCAGCCAGGACAAGGTGAGTGCACTGCCTCAGCTCTGGGTGCATCCTTTTCCTGTTCCCCCTGCTAAACCTGGGAATTTTTGTGCTGCTCACACCCCAGTTTGAACGCAGGACAGGATTTTCTCCAGGCGTGGCACACTGAGAAAATCGGGAAGTACTGGGATGTAGAATGTATTACTGGGCTCCACAGGTTCTTTTTCATTTGCTTGTAAAACAGTGAAACATTTCTGACTGAAAGCTACACCTGTGGGTTGGAGCAGGAGGGAGCTCTGGGGGTTTCAGTGTTCTGTTGCATTGGTTTATTTCCTCAGCAGTAATTTCTGTTTCTGCTAGGAAAACCTGAAATTAAAAGCTTTATCAAGTTTAAGCAGAGGCTCCAACTGGACTTTATATGATCCCAGAAAGGATTTTGTTATTTTTAGGTCCTGGACTTTAGGTCATGTTATTTTTATGTCCACAGATCTGGGAGTTTTCAGGTTTTGAGCATTCATTCTGGAAATCTCTTATGCTGGCTGCACATGTGGCAGGGAGAGCAGAATGTTGGCAGCACCTTAACTGCTGGTGAATTGTGAAAGTAGAGGGTGGTTTTGTGACTTCACCTTCTCAGTTGTTATTAACAACAGTGATAATGAGGTTAAAAACTTTGTAAAAGAGCGTGCAGGGTTTTTGAAAAAATGTGCCTGTTTTGTGTCTCTTTCATTGATCAGACAAGTATTTGCAAAGCAGATTGCTTTTTTGATTCTTTTTTTAACCATAGCCGAGGTTCCCAGTAAGATCCAAGAGCAGTGAGGAGGAAGGGGCTCCTGCAGCCTTATCTGGAAAGCAGTGACGTGGCCCTGCTCGGCCGAGTGTTCTCTCCCACGTCCTGGCTTTGGCTCTTGCCTTTCCTGGGAAGGGAAACCTTTGCAGCCTCCAGTTAAAAAAGGCTCTTGCCAAGGCATTTTTGTGTTATTCACAGCAAGGTTTGGTGTATTTAGGAAGGCGTGGTGTGTGTGACCAGGTGAGACTGTAGGGTTATGTTCTGTGTCAGAGGCAGATGGGGTTGTGCCTTCAGGACACAAATCCAGGGTCAGATTGCTTTTCCCCAGTCCATGACCACAGGAACCACTGGATCAGGTGTTAATTCCTTCTTGCCTGTGTTCCAGAGCACTAATGTGACCTTGATCGACCTTCCAGGCCATGAGAGTCTGAGGCTGCAGTTCTTGGAGAGGTTCAAGGCCGCAGCCAGGTAACCTGGAGGGGATCAGCAGGGCAGGAGGGGTTGAGTGATGCTTTGGAAAGGGATAAACCAAATGAAATGATGGTGCTGGGAATGCTGTGAGCTAGGCTGCTGGTGCCCTGAGAGTCAGAGCTCTGCTGTGGGGTGGTACTGGTTAATTTTTGCTTTGCCTTCATAAAATATCCTGAGTGGGAAAGGGACCACAAGGAGCATCGAGTCCAGCTCCTCACCCTGCACAGGACAATCCCAAAATCGCACTTTGAATTTCTTAGTTACCTGTGCTTGTGGTGCACCAGGAGGCAAAGCCACTGCAGCAGGGAGGTCTAGGGGATGTGGGATATCCTGGGGCAGACAGGGGAAGAATTCCTGCTGGAGCTGGCCATGGGATGTGTTTCAGGCAGCACATGCTGCGAGCCTACGCTTGGGCTGGGTCAGACCAGATGTGGGAATCTCAGCCTAGGCTGGAATGCTTGCAGGGGAAGGTGGGTGCAGAACTTCATCCCCAGCACCTGTCCTTCCCTCTTCCCCAGAGCCATCGTGTTCGTGGTGGACAGCGTGGCCTTCCAGAGGGAGGTGAAGGACGTGGCAGAGTTCCTGTACCAGGTGCTGGTGGACAGCACCGTGCTCAGGAACGCGCCCGCGCTGCTCATCGCCTGCAACAAGCAAGGTACCCTGGGCTGGGCCTGGCCAGGCCTGCAGGGCTTCGTGCCACGGCTGCTGAACCTGGGAGTTGGGATTGCAGCAAAAGCAAGGCTGGAATTTAGGTTTAAACTCTGCCTACTCAGCAGGAGTGTGTGGAAGACTGCTTGGGAGAGCTGCAGCTCTTTGGGTGGGTGTAGGTAATGCAGGTGGCTTTTGTGGTTTTTTTTTGTTTCTGCTTGCTTTGTGCAGAGCTGTTCCTAAGTCTCCAGGCAGGAGGAACTAGGATCAGCTCGAGCACAATGAACTATCCCTATGTACTTGGCAACTTCAGAGTTAAAATGTTCAGCTGCCAGGGTACCATGTTTTCTCTGGAGTAGCCTGAATACCTAGCTACTGGAAAAGACTCTATTTTCAGATCCCTACAGGTTCTACAGTGAAAGTGTGGGTCCCTCTGTAACAGCTGGATGTTTTGGGGCGCTATCAGATCTGGATTTTGTAATTATTTCCTGCACTTAACTCAGGAGCTGCCTGAGGCCTTCACAGCTCTGCATGTCACAGGTGGAAAGCACAGGGCAGGAGGGAGTGCTGGTGCATCAAACCCATCCTCTGAAGTATCTTCCTGCCCAGCAAGAAGTTAATTCCCTGCATTGTATCAGACTGCTGGGTTGTTCCCCTTCATGCCTGTGATCCCAAAGCTCCAGCATCCCTCATCCCACTGCAGGCACGGCTGTCCTTGTCCTGGTAGCTCCAGTGACTGCACAGTATGCACTGGCCTTACTTTAGGGGAAGGAACCAGGTTCTGAATTCTGACAACCAAAGAGCTGATTTTCTTCTTTTCTCTTCAGATGTCACAATGGCAAAATCAGCAAAACTTATCCAGCAACAGCTGGAAAAAGAGCTGTAAGTATGGAATGGGATCTCAATCCCTCTGAGCTTTTCCTTTTTCTCTTCCCTCAGTGCTCAGTAAGCTCCCTTGAGCTGTGTCTGAGTTCCCTGTGGAGCTGGGAGCAGTCTGTTTGGTCTGGGGCTTGGCAGTGCTGGGTTTACAGTTGGACTCCATGGACTTAGAGGGCTTTTCCAAGCTAAATGATTCCCTGGATCTATAACCCCTTTGGCCAGCAGACGGCAGCAGGGGTGTTTGTGCTGTGCCTGCTCCAGGCTGCATACCCAACCTTCTGCTTTTTAGCTGAGCAGTTAGTTGCCACATACTCACATTCTTCAGGTAAATAATGATTGCTTTTTCTGATGTGGAGCATTTGTCAGCTACCTGTGTGTAGGTGCTGGATTTCTAGGTAGTTAATGTGCTGTGTTAGGCACCATTATTCCAGTGTTTACCGTGGGCAAATTGGGATAAGGACATCATCATCATCTGACTTCTGCTGTCCTTTATTGCAAAACCAAACCTGTTTGAACACCTCTCCTTGAGTGCCCTCCTACTCCTTTGAGCCTTTGCACTTGTGCCTTCCAACAGGGGCCAGAGGCCCTGGCTGAGCCTCACAGGGCCGTGCTGGGCCTTGTGTCCTTGCTGTAGCTGGCATGCTGCTGACACCCCAAGCATCCCAGAGCCGTGGTGCAGGTGATACTCCCCTGGTGCTCAGGTGCTGACCCTTTCCCTTCTCTCCCTGCAGCAATACCCTGCGGGTGACACGCTCTGCAGCCCCCACCAGCCTGGATGGCTCAGCCACGGGGGGCCCTGCCCAGCTGGGGAAGAAGGGCAAGGACTTCGACTTCTCCCAGCTGCCCATGAAGGTGGAGTTTGTGGAGTGCAGTGCTCGAGGCAGCAAGGGAGAGGAGGGAGAGGCTGACTTGGAGGGCCTCGAGAAGTGGCTGGTGAAGGTGGCCTGAACAGAGATGGACAGGGCTGGGGGGCTGAAGGGAAAAAGATGGTGTGGAACACTCAAATCTCGATGTAAAAAGAAGGAACTTCAGCTGGAAGTCAGCACTGTGGTGTCTTCTGCTATTTGTGGGCTTGGGAGCAACATGACAATTGCTGGTGTGATTCCCTCTGACTGTCCCTTCATGCTGCAATGTTTTTGTCCTCTCCCCTCTTGCCCTCCTCTGGGCTGCTGAAGCTCTGGGCTTTCCTTTTTCTTTAATCTTTAGGTTTTTCATCTTGTAGTTGCCTAGCAAATTAGGAAGGAGTGCACTGGCAGGTGAGTTTTAGAGGCTGGAGTGTGCCTATCGTTTCCTGCCATGGTTTACACCCCTCTTGCCTCTCAGAGCCACTGACCACGTTATGGTTGGGGCTGCTGGAGAGCACTGCACAAGCTCCCTAAGTTGGGCAGGCATTGAGAGAATATAAATAGCTGTTTTCCTCTTTGTGTCTGTCTTCCCATTGTTCCAAACTGATGCAGCCCCATTTCTGTGGGGCAGGGGGAGTGTGAAATGCCCAGACCATACTGCCCTGCTTTACTCCCTGGGCTCAGTTCTGTGCCCATGTCTGGTGATTTCCTCTCTTGATCAGCTCCTGGGAGTTTTTCTTCAGCTGAAGGCTGTGTCCTGAAAGCTTCACTCTGCTTTTCCTTCCAGGCCCTCCTCCCACAGCCAGGAACAAACACTCTAAGAGGGGCAGAGCTACAGGGGGTCATGGCATGAAACTCTGAGATGGGCACAATTTCAGATCTGTACCTGCAGCTGGCACCTGTTGTGCCAGGCATTTGCTGTGCAATCTCCTGCTGCCCCTGCTCCAGTGGCTGCAGGAAGGGCTTGCTTTGTGTGTAATTAATTAGTCAGCACTTATGGCAGAGTGAGAGGGAAAGTCAAGGAGCTGCCAGCATGTGTGTGTGCTTCCTCCTGGTGGCAGAGATGCTCAAGGAAGAGGGGAAAGAAATAGGAGATCTTCCCAGTTTGTATCTCACTGCACATTGCAGAGTTCCAGTGCAGTGACATTTTCCCTTTGTGGCTTTGTGTTGTTTTAGGGTTGAGGGGGGTGGCTGGCTCCTGGCAGACCCCTTTTGTAGTTTGTAGGCCACTCCCCTGTGGTTTGAGTCCTCCTTCATCACTCATCTGTTGTGTTCTTTTCTTTCTCTGGGGCTTTTCCTGCCTTCCTGCAGCATTGCCAAGTGTTGGGAAGAGCAGGAACAGCCTTCAGCAAAACCCTGTGCATATAATGAAGCTGGTCCTTGCATTTTCAGCCTCAGGAACCATCCATGCCAGAGGTGGGGAGGGTTATATTTACCAAACATGTTACATTCTTCTGTTTCCTGCAGGCAGAGTCCTGTTGGAACGTGTTTGTCATGCTTTGAACTCCTTTAGCTGGAGGTCTTGGGCTGCCTGCTTCAGATCCATAATGCTGAAGTGATTTTGGGCAGAAAATTGCTGTTTCTTTGGGTGATTGTTCTTGCAAACATGCAGAAGCCGAGCACCAGCCTCAGCTTAAGGGGGGAGGTACCATGAGGCCGTGGTGGGTTTTAAGTTATTATTTTTAAAAATATTCCTTAAGTAAATTCTTTTATGCTTAAATGTTTGTTCTCAAGTCTTGCTTCAGTCTGTGTGTTTGCTTTGGCTCTTCCCAGCAGTGTCAGATCCACATGGATGGGGCTCTGCTCCTGCTCAGCACAGTGCTGGGGGTCAACCTTCCTGCTCTGTGGCCAGGTCTGTGTTGTCAAAAAACATTGTCTTCTGCACACAGAGGGCTTTGGGACTGGTTTGTATTTTGGTTTTGTATTTACTTCTTGGTCCGACTAAGTGAGAAATTGATAATCACATAGCAGAAAGCACCCACAAATCATAATTGAAAGGCACTTTGGTGATGTGCACAGGAAAGCTCCAGCCAGCTGTGGTGGCAGAGCAGCGCTGCTCTGCCCTGGAGGTGGCTGTGGCACCCGTGGCTGTGCTGGATGGGATGAGATGCCTCAGCTTTCCCAGGCTGGGGAGTGGCTGCACGGCCACGGAGCCACTCGTGCCAGAGCACAGAGCAGAGCTCCAGGAGTTTTTTGGGCCTCACTCCACAATTTTTAAAATATTTAAATATTCAGGGCTGGTTTTCCCCAGTGGCTTCGGGAAAAGATCAGAACTGGAAATTCTGAGTGTTGTTTTCTTGTTTTTCTTGATTCCCCAGTCAGCTCCATGCTTTGTTCTTTGCTCTCCTGACCTTGTTCCCAGCCCGTGGCTCTGCTGGCTGGGAGTGCTGCTCCTGAGGCTGCAGCTCAGCAGGGCTGTGTTGGGATGGCTTTGGCAGGACAGTGGGATGTGATAAGCTCAGCCCCTTCTTGCTGCAGCTGCCTGACCCTGAGTCAGGAACCCGCTGCATTCACACATCTCCAGGGGCTGAGGCCCTCACTGTGCTAAAGCTCTTCTGGTCTGTGTCTCTCATACTCTGAATTGTTCCCCTGGAAAAGACAGATGTTTTTGGAGGAGAATGACGAGCACGGTAATAACCAGGACAGCATTAAACCTGAAAGAGGAGGAGAGATTGCTGAAAGGCAAAGAAAAGCAAAAATAACCATGCCTGGACAGCAGCATCCCAAGGGGCGGTTTCCAAGGCTCCCCAACAGAGGTGTTCCAGCTGTGACCTTCCCTGTGCAGAGCCACCACCCTGGCACCTTTGGGCCCAGGAGCTTCTCTTGGCCCCACTGGGCCACCTCCTGCACTTTGTGACCAGCCCCTCCTGTCGCTTGTCCTGCTGGGTGCTACCCCTGGTATGAAAGAAGTGGAGAAAGTTACAGAAGGTCAGATGGGTGTTCAGGGGAAATCTGCCAGGTAGAGGTGGAACAGGAATAGGGATAACATGGAGAGAGCTCTTTTTCGTGAAGACTTTGGTGATCCAGAGCAAATCCAGGGCAGGTCTGCTCCTGTCCTCTCCCTTGACTCCCTCCATGAACATGGATGCTGCAGGCCACTATCACAGGGAAAAGCCATGGAGGAAGAACAGCAGAGCCTGAATACATTCAACCCATAAAACCCCTGAAAGAACACCCCAAACCCACTGCACCCTGCCCAGAGCCCACTGCACTGAAAAAATGACAGGATTTTGAAGTAGCTCAGTGCTTGACATAAGTAGCTGGATTTGTTAGGCCATGGGCTGAACTTGATGTGAACCTTAAGGCTGTAATGTGTCAGGCAGAGGTGGATCAGAAGGAAACCTGGAGCTGACAATCTGATGAATAATAATAGTAAAGATCATTAATAATAGAACAGGCAAAGCTGCAGCTGAAATATTACTTTAAAATGCTCTAGCAGATTGTGGTCTGTGTACTGTAACAACCCCATCACAGTGTGGACTAACAGAACCCACCAAACCCTCACCAAAACCCACCTGAAACAACAAAACAGCAACACAGTGAAGGGTGAGAAGGACCCAGGCTTGCTCAGGACATGGTGTGAGGGAGAGGGAATGAAACTTTTTAATTGCCAGGCATTTCTTTGTTCATGGTCCCTCTGAGGCACCAGCTCGGGCAACTGCATGCCAGAACTGATCTGTGCCAATAAACCTGGCGGGGATGAGAACCTCGGGTCAAAACCTGCTGTGCCTGCAGCCCCTGCCTGTATGCCCGAGCCCATCAGGGAGATGCAGGCAGGGCTGCCAGGTTCCATGGGACTGCAGGCTGGACTCCTGGGCCGGCCCTGGGCTCTCTCTAGCCCCTACCAGCCTCCCCCATCACCGGTGGAGCTGCAGAATGTCCCCCCCGCCACCATTTCTTTCCCAGCTGGAATGTGCTCAGCATGGGCCAGGCTGGGACCTGCAGCCTCCCCAGGGCTTGTCTTGCTGGTGGGGGGAGACCAAGAACGCACCACAGTTGGAAAAGTGACCTTTATTTAAAAAATAAAAAGAGCAACAAACCCCAGATGTTCTGCAATAAACCCCTCGTGATGTCTTGTCCCAACACGTGTGCGGTGTCCCTGCTGTCCTGTGCGGGGGCTGCGGGCGGGGGGACACCGGGCAGCCCCTCCGGGCTGGCAGCCACCTCCCCTGCTGCTGTCCCAGCCGGGAATGTCACCCCGGAGCGGGGCCGTGCCCGCAGCAGGCACTCCTCCGGGTCCGTGCGTTCCAGCCCCCTCTGCCTCCTGCTCCAGCTGGCCGGGGCTGCCCCTCCCAGGGTGTCGGGAAGCGCGGCTGGAGCCCCTGGGAGCTGCCACTCCCAGGACGGGGCTGGCCCGGAGCATCCATCCCTCGCCGGGCTGCGGGAGAGGAGCTCGGAGCTGCGGAGCCGCTCCCGTGGGAAGTCAAACAAACCCAAACAAGACGAAATAGTGGCAGTGGGTGATGGGGGTGCGAGTCAGTCCTCGGGGGCTACACCAGCCCCGCCGCCTTCTCCTGCACGTTGTACTCCTTGCTCCTCTTCACCTTCCAGCTGATGAGGGCGAGCAGCACGGTGCCCACCACCTTGTAGCCCACCTGCAGCCCCAGGTATCTGTCGGGAGAAGAGCAGGGACATGCCAGGTCTGCAGCTGGCACTTCCAGCCGACCCCAAGCTGCCTGGGGCCCCTCCCCTGCCCAGGGCACAGGGTACCTGTTGCGAAGGAAATCGTTGTTGTAGTAGGCGCAGAAGCGGCCCGGGGTGCACTGCTGCTGCTGCCAGTAGATGCAGGAGGAATCGATGAGGGCTCCGAACATGGCCGGGGCTGGCAGCCAGGCTGGTGGGGAGAGAGGATGGGGTCAGCTGCTGATCCCCAGGGGTTCAGTGCCTCTCTCAGCCCCAGCAGCCCCCCAGCCTCATTCAGACACTCACCCAGCAGTCTCATCAGTAAGAACTGGACTCCGATGGCGAATGACTTCTCATCCTGGTTCACCACCCTGCAGGGGAGAAGACACAGGAGGTCAGAGCTGCTGGCCCTGGATTTGGCCAAGACTTGGGCTGGTTGCACCTTTATGACATCCCGTTGATCCCAGCATGGGGAAACATCGGCTCCCCCCTGGAACTGAGGAGCCCACACACCACTCACCGTAACACCATCATGTAGAGGGGGTTGTGGGACAGGCAGGCCACCAGGGCAGCAAAGGAGATGAGGAATATGGCAGGAAGGAGCATATGGGAGCAGCTGACTGGACAAGAGCCCGTGTAGGTGGAGAACAGCTCATTCCCATTCAGGGAACAGTTGTGGTAGATCTGTGGGAAACGTTTGGAACAAAACAGACGTCAGAGTCCCAGCGCCAGGAGCAGCTTTCTCAGGACAAATCATCCCAATATCCCTGTGCAGAACACCCATAAGAGCACCAGCTCCAATTTTAAGGCACAGCCATGGCATCCTGTGATGGGATTTGCCACCATCCCTGTTCCTCCAAGCAGGTTCCCAGGGCCTTACAGCAATTCTCCAGGGCACCTTCCCAGGGCTCAGCACACCGTGTGGAAAGGATTCCACCCCCTTATGGCATTTGCTGGGTTCCAGCAGCATCACTTCACTATTCCCAGCAAGGCTGCTTTGGTAGCCACTTGCTTTACTCACCGTTTGTCTGGGGTTGGTGGGGTTGGTGGTGCTGTTGGTGCAGCCAGCAAAGCAGGGCGAGATATATTCCACGGTGTTTTTCTGGCACACGGGGTGGAAGATCTGCTTAGAGCATTGGCACCCAACCCGTGCCTTAACCTGCTGCTGGGAATTGGGTGTACTGCCAGAAAGGAGGGGGGAGAATTTGGTAAAAAGTTAAGAAATAGGACAGGAAGAATTAAAAAAAAAAAATCCCTTTTGCTAGTTGAGCAGTTTTCCTGTTCCTGTTTGGGCTGGGACACTGCCAGCAGCAGCCTGGCCTTCTGCCAGCCTCTGATCCCTGCAGGTACCTCTGGAAGTGTGCAGTGAATGTCACAGGAATTATGTTATGTCTACAAACAAGTACTGACACACTTCTTTTCTCTTGTTTTTTTTTTTAATTTTTTCTTCTTTTTTCAGCTGAAAATTAATCGGCCAAAAAGCCCGTAGAAATGGAGCTGGGCTCCATCCAGAGCTGCACAAACAGATGTGTGAACAGCCACAGCTGCAAACACCACATGGACACAAACTGAAAGTGGGCATGCTTCCCAAACAAGCCTGATGGCTGTGGAAGTGAAGAGGACAAACCCAAATCAGCCCTGTCCTCCCTCACTCCCCCAAGGACTGCATCTGCTGGAGTCACACAGCCTGAATCCCACAGGGATGTGGCACTGGGGAGCTGCCCTTGGGCAGGGTGGGATGGGGCTGCTCCACCCCCTGTGGAAAGATGGCATCAGAAATCTCTTCCTTGCTGGCAGTGCACTGGGAAATGAGCTCAATGCGCTTAACATCAAGCCTTGGTCATATACAAATGTCATTTTTATCTTAGGAAGTCATGGTAAGAGCCAAAAATATCCATTGAGGTGAGGAGAAAGATGATGTCCAGCTGGAGTACTGGGAGCATGTGAAGTGATGTGGACACAATGTTACCAATTTTCCCCTAAAAAATCCAGAGTGAAAAATTACACCCTGCTTGTTTGGCCCAGAAAATCATGGATAAACGCCCTCCCAAGGTCTCTGGGCTGTGAAGCACCTGGATCTCCTCCATGCAGTGAGGATCAAGGAGCAAGA